CCCCCGTGTCCGCAGGTGCCGACCTGCTGAAGCTCTCCCGCAGGGACCTGATCCAGATCTGCGGAGCCCCCGACGGCATCCGCCTCTGCAACGCACTGATGGGCAGGTGGGCTCGGACATCCCGCAGGGCACTGCGGTACCTCTTTCCGGGGACCCCAGCCAGCCTCCGCGGTGCCAGCAGTGCCTGGCCGGATCCTGTGCCCCCCGCCAGACCCCTCTCTGCCTCCGCAGGTGCCCACGTCCCCGGCTGACCCTCTACGTGTTGCGGGAGCCCGCCGGCGGGGCCGAGGGCACAGAGGATGGATGCTCAGGTACTGGGGGCAGCGTGGGGAGGGAGGGTCCGCACTCACTGCCCCCTCCCCATCCTCCTCCTGTCCTGTCCCCAGGGCTGTACCAGGAGGTGCACCTGGAGGAGCTGACGGTGGCCGAGCTGACCGGGAAGCTGGCCGAGCTGCTGGGGCTGCCCGCGGGCCAGATCCAGCAGGTGTCTCGGCAGGGACCCTCTGGCATCCACATCCTTGTCAGCGACACGGTAAGGACCAGGGGTGACACTTGGGCGTGCTGGACCCCACAGCCATCCCGGCCCCTCGGGGTCCCCAACCTGCTCCCAGCGAGGCTCAGCCCCCGTGGGTGTCCCTCGCTGCAGCGGGACGGGGGTCCGGGCTCTGGGACGAGACACACACCCCCAGCCCGGCCCCCCTCACCTCGCCCGGCGGCCCCACAGATGATCAGGAACCTCCTGGACGAGACGTGCTTCGTGGTGGCCGTCGCCAAAGGTAACACGGTGGCCACGGGCAGGCAGAGCTGGGCAGGGGACGATGGCCCCGGCTGAGCCACGTCTCTGGGCAGCGCACGGCCCGGAGGGGTACCACCTGGTGCTGCGGTAGGACCCGGCCCCAGGAGCTGCATCACGCCTGGGAAGGGAGATCTCCTGCAGCGCCGGAGCGAGCTGCGCGGGGATGGAGAGAGGAGCCCGAGGCTGGCACCAAGAGCCCATCCTGCAAGCGCGGTTCGCCCTCCCTCTGTCCCTGCCAGGCTTGACCGACCCCTCGTGCAGAGGGGCGAGAGGAACGGGTCCCAGCCCAGCTCGCCGCCGTCCCTTTCTCCCTGTGCTGGTGGCGGCTGCATCCCTGCACCTCGTCCCTGTTTTCTATTAAAGGCCGGAGCGAGCCCTCGTCCCTGCGGCGCCTGCTGGGGTTTGGGCG